GAATTTATATTTTTCTTCCATTGATATAAAAGCACTGAAGCAATATATGGAGTCATGCTAATGAGATAGAGAGAAAGAACCCCAACTGAAGCAGTTGATTGAATGAGAACTCTGAGAAATTGACCCCCTGGCTGCATTAAAACAGTAGACGTCTGGGGAATTACGTATTCCCATGCATGGGCTTTGTACCTGAGTCCCCGCAGAATTGTATCGCGGAGGTTCAAGCAGGCATAAACCCTTTACGGAATGAGATTTTTAGATGATAAAAATATGTGACTTTGGGCTAATATTAATACTATAGGTTGTGCTGGACTCTGTTGCTCTTTCCAGAAAAAACACTGGCATCACCAGGCTAGTTTATGGGCTTTTGGGTAATTGGAAAACCAATGAGTAGTTCTTTGCCTCAGTCAAAACCAGGGAATCGTAGTCATGGACAGAAGGTAGAGAAAAGGGAGAAGAAACAGGCAAGCAGGGGAAGAGCACAGATACCAGATGCTAAACCAAAACATGAGTTACCCAGCAGCATCAGAAAACCCCTTCCCAATTCCTCAGTCCTAGGACAGAAGTACACATTTAGTAAGTGCCCTCAACCATCACACTATATACAGAATGTATATGTGTATATATCTACATCACATATTCATAAAGGTGTTTGGATTTTGATCTGCCTCATTGTGGGAAGTTATTATGGTTAATGGGGGGAAATAGGCACATTTTGTGACTTATCAATCAAATATAAGTGATTGCTGTTATCAATGGATGCTGGGGATCTGCTTTTGGGAAACTGCATCATCCACACTATAGTAAGTTTGTAGAGGCTTGACTGTAGGCAAAGTTGGACTCCAAGTTGTTTATCTACAGCACTTCCACCCTACAGAACTTTGATATCACAAGGATGGAAATATAAGCACGGGTTCAAAGACCTCAATGCAAAAACACAAAGATAAAAATAGGGAACTTCACCCAATCAACCACCTGTACCTCTGAGTTTCATATACTAGGTTGAATACAGCAAATTATAGTCCTTTATTTTTGCCACATTGCCCCTTGAAGTATATCTTTAGTGATTATGATTAAACATTGGTCTTGTACTCTTAACGATAGAAGATTTATTTAGAAAGAGCTAAACTGCCAAACTAAAGGCGGCAAAGGAATGTGAATCTGTTCTGCCTGGTACTGAAATGGGATCACAGAGGACCAACTCCAACTTCTGTTATGTCTGAATCCTCCTGCCGCAATGCCTGAGGTTCAGTCTCAAGACAATATATTATATAGAAATGACAAGGCAGTTGAACAGAATGGAAGCTTTTGGCCCTCAAGACCTTTTGACCTACTTTTTTCCCTTTAGAAAGTAGAAGTCCACTTAAGGAGAGGCTTGGGTCCACCCTGGAAGCATTAACTTATGACATAAACAGTCATCTAAGATTTGCTTTGATGACTGTCTCTCAAGTTATATCGAACTTTTTCAATATAGCAGATAAATATATACATACACATTCATATATATATGTATACATACATATACTGTACCATTCTTTGACAGATCAAAAATGCAATTAAATATTTAAAAAATAAAATGTCTATGTTGCCCATCTATTTTGATGTAATATAACACATATGATCCAGTTATTTAGCATCAACACAAAACTGATGAATACTGTTTTTACAGTTTCCATGAAAACCTAGGCAGGTTAAAAAGACATGCTTCATTTTAAAACAATGAACTTATGAATTACATCAGAGACATTGAACACATGGATTATACAACGGGTTTACAGAAAAAGTTGACAATAAATAGGAAAAAAAGGAACAAATTTGCCAGAGACTTATTTTAAATGGAAAACCACAAAAGTAAGTTGAAATACTGTAGCAAAAATTTGTTCGGCAAAACTTTATTTCTTCTATTACTAGTGGAAAACATATGTCCTCATTCTACTCCAGTGATGACCCATGAGCCTTCTACATCATCTCTATCCTTTAGAAGAACTACGCCACCTACGTGAGCAGCTTTTTTAATAAATGGAAAAAAAATCAAAGCAAAATTTATTCTTCCACCCCTAAAAACCTTGCTATTGGCAAAAATTTCATTTATATGATGTAAGTTAAAAGGGATTTGATAGTTATTTTCAGCAAATTCTAGTGTTACCTAAAACAAAACTTGGGTGGCCATTAAAAAAAGTTAGATAGTCAATTTAGTAATAGATGCTTTCTAGTTTTATAGTCAAATATAGTCTTCTATTTCTTTTTCCTTTCTCATGAAACTTTTCCTGTCCTCAATAGCCGTGCTAAATTGGGACTTTCGTTTTATCTCAAACTATTTTTTTTAATATCTTCAGTTATGTTTATTTTCCAAGAGATGAAGACTTTGTTAAGAAAAATTAAGTAAAATGAACTCTGAAGAATGCTGTTCTGATTGCTGCTAACCCATTGGCCAAATATGTCAGGAAAGTTAAGATGTAGAAATTAAAGCAGATATTAAAGACCCAAGTGGGGATCATTTGATCTCTGTAAGAAGTGGAGTCACAATAAACCTCTCCATTATTGAGACACTCTTTTTACGCTTGCTGAACATAGCATGCAAGGGAAGCATTCATTTAGATATGATCCATTTCTGTGGATCCATGAGTGACTGGAACACACATGTACAATTTTGCTGATGCTTTTTATAATTGTGTAAATGGATAACAGAGAATGTGCCTATCAAAATATTTAGCCCTACCCCAAGATATGTTAATTTTGAGGATCATGAGTAAGGTATAGTAAAAATATCACCTTTTAGCTTAAAATCTTAGAGAAATTTGCTAATCTCTTGGATCTTAAGCTAAATCCCCCCCCTTTTTTTATTTTTTGCATTTTCCCTAAACACATCTAAAGCTGCTTAGATGACCATTCTCATGGGCATCACTCTTGTATGATTTTCTGTGTATGTGATACAATCAGGTTTATAGCAGATAAGGTACATGATTAAACTACATTATTTTAATAAATATTTCTGATTGTTCAAACCCCAATCAGTGCTTGGATATAAAATTTAACCTACAAGTTTCTTGGTGGGGAAAGCAAGATGAAGAGGAAGAAAGTAGGTTTGGTGGAGCAGATGGGGTATGAATTTGCTCAGATGCACCCTGGAATGGCCAATGGAAAAGTCGTCTAAGACATGGGAGAGTAATTTATCCTCTTCCATATGTTCTGACTGAGATTTGAAAGTGTTGGGTCACAAACTGTAGTAGCACCCTTTTTCATATTGCCTGCACAATGCGTGTACTATTCATACTTAATATTGAACCTACCCAGTTGAACAAAGAATCCAGCAGAAGGATAGTTATATTGTATATTCCCAGTAGGACATCTCACAAGACCTCCCCCTCCAAATGAAAGGGATAATTAGACTAATTATGTGATATTTTCAGTTCACTTCAAACCTTAATTTCATGGCTGGCTCTCCTATGATAAAAGTGGAGTTTTGTATTATGGCATGCATATACAGTAAGGAGAGCTAGAAAATGCTTATCATTGACATTACACATTCTTCTAACTTGTTCAATAGCATGAGAATGATCTATTTACTATAGGTGATTAGGGATCCTGGTTCTGGATCGCTCAATCTTTATTGCTAGTAATTGATGGGAAAGCTTCAGTGCTACCGTGCTTAGATTGAACCATACTGAAGCACTATTTTATTACACAAGGGACTCTTTCTCAACACAAGAAAGTCAAATATAGCAGTCATTATAATTACAAAGCACTTTGTGCTACTTTAAGCACCTCTTGTTCCAGAATTGCCAAAAAAACCCTCAAAAAACAAAAAAAACAAACAAACAAAAAACCTTTATGAAAAATCATTTTAACCTCATTTTGCAGACGAGGAAGCTGAGGCACAGAGAGGTTAAGTGACTGGGCCAAAGATACCTGGGTCAGCAGTAAATATAAGAACAAAAAGTGGGATTCCCGCACTGTAGCTTTTCTTGTACATTCTTCAGTTATTGTTCTGGCTTTGAAAATGCCAGTGCTAAAACTGAAGAATAAGATACTGAACCCATGTATGGAAGAATTTGTGTAGCATTTCACAGAAAGAGTTTCTGGTTCCC